GATTTTCACTCGGTTGTGTAGACACTAAGATTGTGTAGAGCTGGAAGATGTCTTATTTTGATCCTAATTTCGCGGGCTACAATTATGAATTATTTAGAAAAAGTTTTGGAGAGTTTTTGAGGCTTCTGGAAACATGGTTTTCTGGAAAATTAGGCCATGCAAGGCCTAGCAGCCAGTCTCATGGTGATATTCGGATTCAGGATCGTCGATAACCTATGACCCACTGGATTTTGGCCCACAAACGATTTTCAAGTAGGTGGACTTCCCTCTTAAGACATAAATTACTTGTCCAATGTGGTTACAAGACCTACCGGCGCCGAGGTTTTGACACAGTACGCCGTCTAGAGGAAATGTAACAGTAAAGATATAATTTTACCGGAATGAAACACGCAACTTAAAAATGTGATATAGCATTTTCCCCATTAATCAATATGAACTGCCCCCATTTGTTATTGGATAAAACTTTCTTCTTGAAACAGAATAAAATTGAAAATATTTAATTACCGTTTTATTATTACTGTTTCTTAAACTAACAAAACATAGCATCGATCCTTGCTGAAAGTGTGACATTTCCAAAGTCATTTTTTCTTATAAAGATACACACCGATAATAGCCTTTTCTTTCTGATTCAATTAAAAAATTGATTCTTCCTCCCTATCACCCCCACCACTTTGAAGAGAAAAGTAGGCGTGCAGTCCTGAATGTCGTAGTCAACCATAGCATTTCGACTGATTGAGACATTCTCACATAGTGCTGTTTTCAAAATCGATGGTAAAGGCAAGCTTTGCATCCTATAGATAATTCTCCTAATTTATAATTAATGTTTTGATTATTTACAAAGTTGGAAATTTAATTAAAAGCTTTTTTGAACTTTTTCTTCATATTTAATTGAAATTTATTAACTAACATATCGAAACATTTAGGTAATAAATTTCTACTGAATATCAAGAAAAAGTTTAAAAGCTTTTAATTAAATTCTCCTAATTGAGAAAGAAATCCTTGCTAAATTCTGCTTTTCTAAAAGTTTCGATGATAGACCATTATATATTAAATTTTTAAATAACATACGCCACTCCCCAATGTATAATCAATCATCACTTGATAGTATTGCATAGGAGAACAAATAATTTTATATCTATACAAAAACATATGGTCATGTCACACGATTAAATAGTACTAACATGAACCTTATACAAGACTTATTTTCTAAATTATGCCAGATTTTCTAACTTATAAACACAATGATAGCAAAAGAAAGATTTTTTACAACTTGAAATAGTGTCTGAAGATTCATAGGTTAAATCATCATCGATATTTCAGACCATATTTGCTAAATATCTAACAATTTTAGAAGTATCGTAGTATGTTATCGGTGTACTATCTATGACAAAAGTGTGGATTATCGGACCTTTACTTCGATGTATATTCGAAATTCGGCAATAGAAAGATCTTCAATTGCTAAGGCTATAGTAGATTGGTTAGTTCAGTATTCCAATGGCAGTCTTATCGGCGGTCGCTCTTCACATACAGAGGCAGAAGTATAATTTGTAGGTTAAGTTGATATGATCATAGATATTTAAATAATAATAGGTGGTCCAGAATAAATGAGCCACTTTTGTTTTTTGTTTTTGAGACACTTCCCAGTGATCCAAAGAGTTGGTTCTAGACTCATTCGATAGAGAATTGAATTCTCTGCAAACCTGCTATTTAAACGTTTGATAGCATTTTTCTCATTTGAGCATCATTCAAAATAATGAATGGTGCTGAGTTGTCTGAATGGTGTTGTGAATGAATGATGTTGTTTTATCATCTCCTAGTTTGAGATTTTTAGCCCATTGTCTGAGGTTCAATAGTTCATTTTTCTACTTACAAAGATAGCGAATTTATGCTCTATCAGTCTCGCTCATTCACAACTTTATACAATGTTTCCGCAACGTCATCTGGACTCATAATTAGTTCTCAACTGGCTTTTTAATGTTTTCAAATTAAATTAGTTTTGTTAATTAATTTTTTCAATTGAGAAACTTTGTTTATATATCAAAAGAGGCAGAATTTAATTCTGTGTAAGCTAATAAGACTAATGCCTTGGATTCAGAACGGCTAACTTTAGAAAAGTTAGGTTTTTTTAGATTTATCAGTTTTTACACGGGGAAATTTTCCTAGAAGACTTTACTGCAAAATTTCGAATAATATGTGAGAAGATGCAGAATTTTTCGGGGAGTCTTCTGATATTTTCAAAATTCTTATAAAATCTATTTTTGGATCAAGAAAAATATTTCTGTATTTTCACCGGGTCGCACTACAACAGCTCACCACCATTCATTATTTTGAATGGTGCTCAAATGAGAAAAATGCTATCAGAGATTTAAATAGCAACTTTGTAGAGAATTCCATTCTCTATCGAATGAGTCTAGAACCAGCTCTTTGGACCACTGGAAAGTGCTACAAAAACAAAGAACAAAAGTGGCTCATTTATTCTGGGTCACTCGTTATATTGAAGAATTCCAGTATTTTTGTGTAAAATGCCATTTTTTCTATACTTCGATAGTAGTATAATACTAGTACCATGGTATAAATTATCACAAATATTATTAGTATTAGTGATAATTTTTTCTATAACACCTGCATATATTCCCACTATAAGACAAGTTATTAAGGGCTAAGAGTATGAAAGCCTTGTAATATGCGAAAAACAATTTTCGACCACCCCTGCCTTTTTTTTGACAAAATTTTTGATTTTGAATTGAAGATAACCAAGTTGAGATTAAAAACGATTTTTTACAACTTGAAATAGTGTCTGAAGATTCATAGGTTAAATCATCATCGATATTTCAGACCATATTTGCTAAATATCTAACAATTTTAGAAATACCGTAGTATGTTATCAGTGTACTATCTAGGACAAAAGTGTGAATTCTATCGGACCTTTACTTCGATGTATATTCGAAATTCGGCAATAGAAAGATCTTCAACTGCTACGGCTATAGCAGATTGGTTAGATCAGTGTTCGAATGGCAGTCTTATTGACATTTTTAACAAATCTATAGAGGACTATATTACAAAGTTCTCAATAAAATCTGTCGATTTTCTTTTTCTGTATTCTACCTTTTGTAAATAGTCGAATCCTATCGGATATTTGTTTGCACCTTCGCCAATAGGATGAAAAACAGGAATGCGACAGAGGTAGATGCCATTTCTAATAACGTGTAAATTTTTAATAAAATATTTAGGTTTAATAGTAGTTCTGATCAAAATTTTCCTTAAATCATTAGTTTTGTGATTTGTACATCTTTTAAGTCACAGTTATCAGTCATAGTATTCAGAGTGTTTCATTTCATTCTGATATGCCACGTAATCTCATTTAGTAGACAGACAAACATTTCTGACGATGAGTACTAGTTGACGACTATTCTCTTTACGACGACTATTTTCTACTTTATCAACATATTTGAAATCGTAGAAAAAACGGTATCCTTGTCTTGTTGATGTACTTGAACATTCTCTTCTTACTTGGATCACCATCACTAATCGCAAATCACAATAAATAAACGTTATCATATTGGGTATAATATTTAGAGCCATCTCAATCACAAGACATCCTACATGTTAGTTCACGTTAACATTGTCTAGCGAACCATTCTAGTGAGCAGCGACCCCAGTTTTGATCTTACGATACCTATGCATTAAAATCTAAGTTTGTAAACTCAAGTTCTTAGTCTTAACGAGCGTTAATATTTCTAATTGAATCAATCATTATCTTCTCAAGTCTTCTGCATTAAATAAATGTTTTTCTTATTATGATTAGTATGCTGTTGATTGATCCATTCACAACATTGCCTTTCATACGTTTAACATCAATTTTTTTTTTCGACATCTAAACACCATATATATAAACATGTTAAAAATTAAGTATGATTTTGACGTATTTTCAATACTCTGCTAGATTTTTCTAATAATTTTTGTGCAACTAAGAATTCAACCGTTACTATCAATCTTTGTCAGGGAAGAATTAACAAGTGTATGCCTAAAAGAACATTCTCCTTGTTCAGAAAATCATTACATTTAAATCAAAAGAAAGTAAATATTTTGTTGTTTAAAGCACTCGTTTTCAATAATCAGCCACCTATGCTTTACCTTTTCTTTGTAGAATAAATTTTATTTTTGGTTTTGAAGCTTTAAAACTTTGAATTGCTACTGGTTTTCTCTGATCAAGGACATAAACGGCCAATGTGACATAGTACAGAAGATTTTTTCTGTTACTTTTGTTTAGACAAAGTATATCGAAATCTCACCAGTATTTTATACTATACTGAATTAAGCAACAGGTAAAAGTTTAACCAATGTGTAGTTTTCAATTGAATGTTCACCAATTCTTTTTTGTGTATGGAACAAATTTGTTTTATTATTTATCAAAAATAAAGTGTAGAAGAATTAAGACTCTCAATACACACAATAATTATGATAGAAGCTAAAATTGTAGAAGAAGAACGCTTGTATAATACGAAATGCTAGTCCATCTAAAACCATTTTGTCAATATTTTAATAAAATTACTTGATTAAAACTCTAATTCCATTTTTGTACAGAATTTTTATTCTTTCTATTAGTAGAGCGCTACATAACATAAGATATTGAACAGCCGATTTTTTTTAATACATTCTTCTTGACTAAAGACTATCGTTCACTATGGATGAATGATTTTATTTTACTATAATTAAGAGCCTATCATTGAAGAAAATGTTTGATATTAATAAATTAATCTTTTTTTTATTCACATATTTTTGCATTTATCATTTTTCGCTCACATATAATAACAATCGATGAGTAAATAACCGTCTAGATATAAAACTGAATTGATTGTCAAAGCATCTGTTTCTATTCTCAACATCAAATACAATAATAATAACTAATATATAAAAACTTTGTAACTGAGTTAAAATATTAGGAAAATAATTTAAACGAGACGCCTATTAGTGCCTAAATTTTGAGTAAAAAAATAAAAATGCTTAAGTTTGCCATTATTACAACACTTTTGGCATTGGGTTGTGTCGAGTGCGTATATAACAAATTACAATGGAAACAATGTGATAAACCAAATCAAGGTCTTGAGATAGTAACAGCAGATCTTACTCCAATGCCTGTTACTAGTCCTGGAAACGCAGTTATAACATTTAAAGCACATACAACAAGACCAATAAGTAAGCAAAAAAACATACTTTTAATAATTGTCGTTAGTTTAAATTTGTACTCTTTTTGCTCGTAAGATGTTTAAATACAAAAAATCTACTTTATCATTATTGTTGAGCTCTGCAAATTTTCTCCGTTTATTAGACAACTTATAGTAGAATTTTAGACATTTATTTAGATCAAATAGATTTTTTGAGTAAGAAACTCTTTGTCGTAAACTCAATTAGTATGATAATTTCTTGACAGATAACAAATTAAAAAATATCGACTGAATCTTAAAAATGGCATACTAATTTTTAGTTCTATAACTTTTTTTTTGCGTCCAAAGACAATAAATGAACGTGTATACTATAACATTAGAAATCTTTGCTTATTCATGAAAATTTTTCATTTAGAGGGTGTTCTTAGAACAAAATTAGACATCATGCGCACTGTTAGTGGTATCCCATTACCTGTTAGATGTTATATTGTCGATGGAAAAGAAGTTGGTTCATGCACATATCCAGATTTATGTGCATTAATTAAAGAACTATCGGACACTTTTACGCTTGAATCATGTGCGGAAGAGCTTAAACCACATAAACTATTCACCTAATTCGAATTTTAAAAAGAGGATCGATCTATTTAATGATTGAAAACTCACAGACGCCTTCGTAATAAACGAATTAGTACCTGGGCATCGATTGTACTTGTCCATTTAACATACCTGCACAAGCGTTATTTATTGAAGGAACAGCATTTCAGGTACCAGATGCATCACAATCAGCTGCAAAATTTTTAGCAAGCGGTGATTTTGATGTCACAGTCGAAGCTCATTTGAATAATGTCCTTTATGGATGTGGTGAGTTGCACTTTTCAGTCCAGTCTCCAAAACCAGGAAAATAGACATTAAACGACAAAAAATAAATAAATGGCAAGTTTTTCTTGTTATTTTCAAGTAAATCGATGGTAAATATCTATTTTGAAATAAACACGGTCGACGAGTACTCCTCTATCGAATATCGCTTTCAATAGACAAGGGTTCTAATATTTTTAAAGGTTAATCTGATGATATTATTTCATTCTGACATATTCGTGTCAATCTGATCTAAAACAGACACGATTGTATAATCGTTTAGCCAAATTTTTTAATTGACAACTGAAATATTTGTCCATAGGTTGAATATGGGTACGTTTTATCTGTTCTCCCATCCGATCTTTTGATTCTTGTAAATATAAATACATGGATCCGATAAGATTCCCGCTCCACAAAATGTTAATGTACGTGATGAACGTCATTCTTTTTCGATCCTAACTTGATCAACGTTTAATACTTCATGATGTTTATATTTTTGTAATAATTGATTAAAATCATCGAAAAATGTTCTCCTGAGTGTTGAATAGTGTCCCAGTTTCATTATTCTCATTGTGCTAAAAGGTTTGTTATTTTTCGAGAACAGATAAGATGCTATTTTTTTTTAATTATTCAGGCGGTAGTGAGCGTTTTCTGTCTTTTATCTTTTCGTGTCATGCAACAGTAAATATACTTGATCTGGAATATTCAAAACTGATGATAAACTGTCTTCTACGATCGACGTTGTTTAGCGTTTTAATATTTTTCATCTGTATATTCAACCACTTCTCATGAAATCAACTGAACAATTTTTTTAATTCTTGACTCTTCCCCTCATCTTCTTCCTATTCATCGTTATTGTTCTAGTAGGCGAGCATGGCACGTGAGGAGGAACGTGTTTAGGAAATGCAAATGAAAATCGCCCACGATTTTGCAGTAATAATCTCTCTCTTGATGTATTATCAGGGTTCCTATCCTTCCAAATGCACACGCATCCTCTATCCACGTATACATTTCGACGTCAATCAAGCTTAGTCAGGTTATGTGGAAATTGTAATTAATACTGTGAGAGTATGCATACACATCTTATATGTGTGTGTGTAAATTTAGACTTCAGCTAAGGTCAGATCAGGTCACGTTACGTGGAGATCCAATACCATATGTATGTTTTTTTTAAAAAACTGTGGAGTGATGGATTGGTTGATTAAACCGCCAATCAAGTTGATGTGTATAGATGATTTTTTCTGTTGAGTCATCCATTATCAACGAAACTCAGAAAAATGAAGATCCACAATTACATTTGATGGATTCACGCGCCAACACAGTTGATTGAATTGTTGAAATACATGATGATTTATAAGTGCTTTTCAGTCGTTAGTTTTCAACGTTAATGTTTTCTGTATTTTACCGTTTCATATGATGAAATTTCATAAAACATTTTCTGAAAACTTACCCGGCACATCCTTCTTCATCTACAGATATGCATACAACTGCACAAACAGGAAGTATTGAAATGTTGTCTTGTAGCTCACTCTCATGCTATCCCCTCCCCCTCCCGCGTACGCGAGAATACGAATTACAATTTCCGCATAATCTGACCTGACTTAAACTAGGATGATGTCGAAATAGACAGACAGATATAGATGTGTATATATTATGTGAGAATACGAATTACAATTTCCACATAACCTGACTCGACTATGACAAGAACGAGTGCCAGTTCGCATATGTTCTGATAAGCGTCTAATTGGAATTGATTGGTACTAATGATTACCTAACCTCAACTTTCATTTGAATAAACAGATCGAAAATCAGAATGGTCACTCTCAACTACGAAATAAACAAAAAATTGTTGTTAAAACTAAAAGCTCAGGTATGGCTCGCGAGCTGAACTCAGGGGGAATTTTTTCCAAGATTATTGACTAGAGAGAATACCTGATGTGAAGCGACTGTCTATACTGACGTAGGTTTTCTCCTAAATGACATAATTAGTTTTTATTCAAAATTCATTTTTTCTGTTAAGAAGTATCACCTGTAAGATAAACTGAAGCACTTCCGCTGACGAACACAAGGGTAAAATTTTAGATAAAGACAACATCCATCCATAATGCCACTCTCTAACATTTGTTCCTTCACGGCTTGTCCACTTGACGGTCTCCTTCGTTTTAGAAGTTTGCGTGAAATTTTTTTTTGTATTAGTTTTGTGACACACATCATTAAACGTACTTTTTCACGCTGATCACGAATCAGACGTCGAAAATTAAAAATCGCAATTT